AAAAGGCAGTTAAGCTCATCAGAAATAAGGGTAGGGGTGGTCAGTGGTGCAGGGATGAAGAAAAACCATGGAAACGGCCAGAACCCGAGAAATGGGACCCCTTCCTTGCCCGTTGATTTCCGCATTGATGCGACTCTCATCGGTGTGCCCTCTTCAACGCTAACGCTCTCTCTTTGCTAAAGGTGGCGTACCTGCGCCGATAGTCGTGGGGAAGACCATGCTACACCGCCGGGATATATCATTCGCTGCGAATTGCATGCCGGTCCGCACCCTTAGAGTCCACCTCTTCCCACTAAGTGAGTTTCTCTTTTTTCCACCTTCAATCGTTGAATCCACCTCTAACGCACAACATAAATCGAAATAAGTAATTTTTTCTCGATGGAATCTGCAAAGAAAGTCTAAAACACGGAACTCACTACGTGATTAACGATGAGGTCCAGTAAATGCTCAACAAATTTTGTACTGCTGAGTAAGCTCTGCTTGTTCAATTGTTCAGTGCGCAACTCATAGTGATTGTGCATTGGATGCATCAAAGCACATAGTGCCTCCACAGTCGCATAATCGATAGCCTCGTTCTTGTACGAAAGTAATCGAATCACCAATGCACCCAGTTTTTCACGAACTCTGAATAACTTGCTTTAAAATAAGAAAGCCTTAGTGAAATGAGTAAAAACCAACACACCCAGGAACCTCTGTGAAGGCTTGAAACCCACTCTTTGACGCAAATAATCGCCGCAAACATTGTAATTGTGCCTCACACTTGTAAACATAGTTGGGGTCATCCTTGAATACCGCAAACTTAATAAACAAAAAAAACAAAAGATGGTAAAACAATCAACTAACTTTTTCGTAACATTCGCCTAGAACAGCTTCTAATGCACCGACGATCACCTTTCCTTTATTTTCAGTGAAAAATCCCTCTTGAGAGACAGAATATGTTAATCCCGTATACGGTATATTGGCATTGAACCGTCTTATGAGATCAGATCTCTTCAGTCCAGCTGAAACTGAGAACGTTCACACTTAAAATACTCCAAAAACTGAAACAAAGCCCGTCCCATATGAAAAGCTAACCAAATTCTTTCCCACAAATATTGTACATACTGTGGAATCGTGTGCGAATCAAAAAGTAAATGTTCACCAGAAACATGAAAACTACAAAATCTAGCGATAGAGGGGTCAAAGTTTAACAAGTTCACGGCACTATTCTGCGCTCAACGGATCCACGGACCCGCTTTCGTTTTCGTTAAGCAGTTCACTGCTAATGGTAGGTATAATTTCCTGAAGCATACGAAGGAACGCAGCATCATTAGAATTCGCAAATTGCAGACGCATTTAGATGTAACCTCCAAACGATCTCGAATTTCGCTCTCTTATAATCTCATCTGCACCGATCTCACCATACATCATCTTCCATCAACACGAATAAAAGGCCTCCAACCTTAGTGAGCACTACAAATTATTTTGTCCTTTTCTTTAGCGAAAGTCCAGTCAGTCCCATATGAATTGTAACTCCATGGTCCTTGGACGATAGGTCGTGAACGTGTTAAATAATACTGGGTTGGGACAAATTGTTCATTTTATCGAAACTTTTCAAGACGTCGAGAGACTTATTCACTAAATACAAAAATGCTATAGATTCAGCTAAGCAAACTAAAGAAGACTATGATCGTTGCATTGCGCACCGCGAGTATTTCTCAACAAGACTCGATCAACAAAAAAGGAAATCCTTGTGAACGAAAGTGAAGGGAACGAAGTAGACGCTTTCCGCGCTGATGTCAGGAGACGTGTCACCCCAATATTGTACTTCTTTTTTGGCTAAAGACAACAAACATTTTTTGATTGAAATGTCAAGATAACTCGCCTGTCTCTATGGCTTCTCTAAATCGCACTCGAAAATATTCGCAAAAAATCGCAAAAAAAAAGTTCTGCGGAAATTAAAGACGCAAGCATCAAAAGGCCCGTATCTCTGCCACGACTCTAGAACAACGTCCAGCCGATGCCCCCCTGTCGACGCACCACTCTACCCTGCACACCGCCGCACACACTGCCCATCGACACACAAAACGCACTCGCCACGCGCCAACCCACACCACCGCACCTCCACACAGCGCCCCTAATCCGTTTAGAAAAACAGAAAACATATAAGCTCGGGAGCGTGACGAAAAGTCCGCTTCGTTTGCAGACCAGCAATGGACAAGGAGAGCATTGAAACAACAACGGTAGGAAAATTACGATTTGCGAACCTACTAGAGGCGAGGTTTACGATTTAGTCAACATGGAGCCCCCCCTTAAAAACCGCAGGTAGAGGTGATGCCGCTGATGCATGAACGTCACGCCCTCAATCTCGGCTAGACGCCTGTTGGCGAGTGAAACAGGCGCTGGCGCCGGGTCTGGCGCCTCTTAGGCCACTAACGAGCATACTCGTTGTCTATCTGCCGACAAACCCACATTGTCCCACACCCTTAGGAGGCCCACCTTCGTTCTCAAGTATGTTCCCTTTCTTCGACCTCCGACGATCGTGGAATCCCCTTCAAGAGAACCATATCGCCTATAGCTAAGCAACAAGGACTCGAACCAGGGTCAACCGTGGATTCGCACTATTTGAACGAGTGGGTCGCATTTGTGCTTGGTTTTGGGAAGAGGGGTCGTCAGGGAATGAGAGGATTAGTAATTGATGGAGTAAATGGCGAGGCGATTTAGATTTAGAGTAAAGTGCACGTTCGCCGTTTTGGCAATGCGACGCGTATCCTATTTTGTCAACAAATTTATTACTGACGATGGCCAGAAGCAATCACGCTAATCATTTCCTTACACGACTACCGTATCCGACAAGGCATGACAGTAACACGAAAAGGGAACGATAACACGACGCCCTGACTGGGACTCCCAACCACTACCGTTGCGCTCTTTTCCCTCATAGCTTCGTTCAAAGAATCGTATTGCAGATTCAGAAGGTAGGGTTAAAATCAGCGCAAGGCTCTGGCTTCGAAGATACACATAATCGTATACATCTCACATTGAATGTCCATGGTGACCTTGCCTTCGGCACGGTACGCATCCCTTTCCAGCATTTTAGAATAATACCTTTCGACGACTTGAAAAGAAAGCTTAGTGCATTTGTTCCCAACCCAACATGCCAATGCAAAGCTCAACGAAGGATTTTCAGGTATGCAAACTGCAAAAACAAAGTGCAATGAGAAGAAAGATTCACAATACTCAGTCGGAGCTGCTGAGAACAAGCGTCGGAAGAATCTGAGCAATTTTTGATCTCCCCATCCTGAAGGTATTTGAAAATCCTATTATGTCACTACTGAGAAGGCAATATCACATATTTCAGGGAAAGAACACTCCTCATAACACTAACATTTGTTTAGGCGTTTAACTGGCTACAAAAATAAAATGGAGCAGATTGTATGCAAAAACTCTCAGTATAACAAGAGTGAAGGATTAATAGCGCACGCCCTAATAACTGCAGTCTGAGTTAAGAACTCACTATCCTTCGCGATTTACCAAAGAAGAAACGTCGGGCGCAGGCCTCAGGCCACCCAGCAAGTTGCGGAGGACAATCATAAAATAACAAAGAAACAGCCGCACACTAGCAAAAAAGCAAATGAAAACGCGCAAGGATTTCAAAGCACCTATGAGGAGAAAGCAGCAAAAAGCAAAGAATGATATAGCTTTACGGAGAACGCTTACGTGGTGGTGCTATGACATGCCTCATGCACTGTGATTCACCGTCCTCGTCCAAAATCTGTCCATGAGGTAACAATCTCAAAGCCTGATCGAAACGGTGGCCGGTGACGAAAACCTGGAAAACTAGGGAAATCGGGAGAGATTGCTTCGTTTGAGTATGGAATAAAAACATTTCAAGCATTTCAAAAACAAGTTCAGGCTTTATAAAGTTTTGTGTATAAGAGTACACGTGTAAAACTCTACCTCAGCAAAGTCAAACCAAATGCAAAAGAACTAACCTGTTCATTGCCAGCAGCACGAGCTCCGTCAATAAGTGAGGCAATAATAAGATCCCTGCAACAGTACTGATGTACCTAATGAATGCACACGAAACCCTTATTGTTAGACACAAACCTTTCTGCAGCTGAATAGACACGCCCCTCACCATTCTTATACTCGACAACAAACTGCTGTGGATCTTTTTCCAAGCGAACCAAGCATACAATCTATAAGATAGTGGTATGTGAATGGCTGCGTCTCTACATACCTGTCATTAACTCATTAAATAAGGGTTTGGCTAGATAGCAAATTGAAAGAAAAGGGATGCATTAAGATAAAAACTAACAGAAATCGAAAAAAAAGCAACACAGCAGGTTCGACTCACTTGTTCCAGAGGTGTCGCGCATACAACAGCATAAGATGCCGGATCACGCTCAACAATGCAGATTTCGGTGAGGCAAAGCAGGCGACGAACGGGCTGCTCATGTCGTCTACCGTATTTCTGCACCTTGAATTCTGCATAGGACGTTATGTGGTCATCTCGACTAAAATATCATAAGAAAATAAGTTCAACACTTTCAAGAAGAAGCGAAATGTCAAAGTATTAGAACAGAATTCAAAAACACCTGCAAAGCCCGAGCCTTGTGCGCGCAAACTCATCGAGGGTTGCGGCTTCCTTTGTTATGGGCACAATCACACCAATATGATCAGCCGCTATCCGCCGTACGTCTTTGAGAAAATCGTCGCAATTCGTCGAAGCGAAAAGATGCTAAAGTATGATATGGTACGAACTTCTGAGCATGTGCATAAACATGAATCCTTCGATCAGCGCTATAGTTACGTAACAAAAAGCTGGATTATCAACGAACGCATGAAAATAAAACAAAAAGGATTGGCCTGATTAAGTTTAAACTTCAACAGTTGGAGCAAGACCCCAAAAACAACCGAAAGAAGGTCACAAGTAAGCACAAGTAAACGAAAAGATTAGACACTCACTCTTCGATGATGATCACCAACATCGATTATGAAGCCACCGGGACAATCGGCAACCTTAATAAGTTCCATCTATAATCGAATGAAAAAATTCATAATAAATGCGACACATGATATTCCATGTGTCTTCATTGAGCACCAAAAGGGCAGACCGAGTAACTGCCAACTAAATACGACTTTTTCTAATAAACAAGATCTACCTTCACAATTTTTCGTATCCTTCTATAAGGATAAGTCTGGATTACAACTCCTCGACTATCCACTTGCTCGATAGCAGCCGCGTTGGCGCGCAGAATGACCGGAAGACGACGATCAGACCAACTATGTTTGTATGCGTTCACTGCCTAAAAGTTGATGAAATACTAGATCGTGTGATAATAGAGCAGAACAATTTCGTATTCAGAAAACAATTCATCATAAGGTCATCGTAAGGTTATGTGAAGATGAAAATAAATAATCATGTAACTGAAAAAGTAAGGTTTAAATAATAAATAAATTTATTAGGGATAAAAAGCACCGGAAACTGATGAAATTTTATTCCGCCTCGAGTATCACAAATAATGAGATGGTCACGTCACTAATTCGAAATGTCCTAAGAGGGCACCAAGACTTGAACTCCATCTTGCGTTTTTCAATACCAACCAAAACCACTGATATTAATATCTAGCATTTTCAAAAGAGTCAAAATTTGAAAGAACTTCTTACGAATGTCTGCCCGCAAGCGAGGACAATATGCGCAATATGTTTCCACTATTCAGCAACCCAAGGTTGAGCTTTCCATTTCTCTCCATTTATTCTTACACTTCCCTATATTATTTAGACCTTGAAATCAATGTTATTCTTCAATAGGTGTGTAGGTGAAATTGCACAATTTTTCACTCCCTCAAAGTGAACCGATGACGGCAGCCGCATGGGCAGTAGAAAACCAACGGTTATTGTGCTCACTTATACGAAGTTCTAGAAGTAAACTAGTTTTGATGTTTTTTGGGAAGTCACATCGACAATCGAACGATAGAGATCGCCACAAAGACCACGCAGGGAAAGCGAAGGAAACGAAACTGTAGGATGAAAAACGAAGCGATAACAGGAGAGAAAAGCGGAAAAAAACCACTGAGCTCTAGAAAACTAAGGAATACTCACAATAGGTTCCATATTTCGCTCAGAAAATTTGCTGTTGAATTGGAGACAATCAGTGAGAATGTGAGCAGTGTAATCAGATGAAAATCTCATCGTATCCTGAAAAATTCACTGAGATAACGTACAAGGAACTACAGAAAGGAAAAACCCTAAGGGAGGAAAAGCTCATTCAATTTCGTGGCACCTACAATGCAATTTCAATTATTTCATTCAGAAACGATAAGTTCATAGGTAGTGCCTCATACAAAGTTCACTCGTAAATTTCAAAGCGTATGAGAGAAATGCACGAAAGAAAAAATCAAAGCGAGCCGCCCAGGGCACGTTTTGACTAGGTACTTGGAGATGTAATAATCTCATACACCTTACACTAGAAATTTGAAGTTCGTCAGTTACAATGAAACGAATCGAGCCATAAAAGCAAAATGTAAAAGATACGAACAGAAAAAGAAGGCAGCGAAAAGATCTAGGACATGAAGTCACAAATAGGGGTCGGGAAAAACCTGCATGTAAGGAAAGGAAGCAGAAAGTTTCAAGACATACCCTTTTTCCTCCTTTTCCCTGTCTAATGTGTATGACAAACTCGTCCTGTTTACTATCACTGGTCGCGTTCCTCGGTGAGGGTTTGATTGCAATAAAATCCTCATACTGCCACTGAAATATTGAGTCAAGCAAATAAGCATATAACATAAGAAAGACAACTTCATTTATCTCAGGTTTCCCTTGTTTCTTTTACCTAGAGTGGTGTGCTCTTTGCTACGGATGGGAGAAACGGATGCTTCCTTCTTGGCCATGCGCCACTTACACGACATTGATTACAGAAACGTGGTTATATTTCTTTCAGCGTAGCAATAATACATCCACCAGTCCCCATTCGCGATTTCAGTGAGAGATTGATTCTGGCCCAGCCGAGTTGGACGGCGGTGACTGCATTTTGGAATTTTTGAAAGGAGTTTTGTCGCCCTTTGGTCAAAGTACATGGATTTCGGTTTTGAATTTTTGAAGCTGAGATGTAAGTGTTTCCGATTAAATCAGGTTCACTTGATTACCACCAACAATTGAGAGTTTTGGGGAGAGGGGATCGTATATCCGAAATCGGCCACTCCCCACGTTTGCGTTTGGTGAGTTAGCACCTGCTTCCACCTTAGATCTCTCTCCAGTAACTTTGTGATTACACTCCTTATCTCACATCTCTCACGTATCTCACATCGCAGGGTTGTAGGTCAACACCTACGGACAAGCCCGACAGTTCCTTTTAGAACAAGTTTCATATAGAGTTTACGTTAGCAGGTAAAAGTGGTATAAAAATACTATTTAGTAAGAACTTCAACAAGAGCGAGTT